GAGTCATCATCGAAACATGATTGGACTGAATCAGTCGCGCTCTGAAATGATTTCAAGCCTCTACAGAATACAGTTTTTATCGATTAAAGCACTGACTGCTGAATACCTGTGTGATCGTTCAAACCACTGAAACTCTTGAATTTCATTGAATAAATTGATTCTGATCGTTCTATTCCATCAATACGTTCAATACTTTTTCAGTTTACAATTAACCTCCAATGATTTCACTAAACCATTCAAACATGTGAACACTTGAATTTAAAGTATTTGCTTATTAGGAACAAACTCGCTGGGACTTTCTTGCTGAAAATGAAGCGAGCAAGTAAAAATTGCACACATACGCAAAATTCCGAGAGGGGTGGGGGCGGGAAAGAGACAGGTATGCAAATACGAACAGTTTTAGTGACGCTGTCTGTGCATATGTTGTTTCTGGAATTGCATCCCATCTATCGACGTCACATACATACATAAGGACTAGATGAAACATGTTTGCTTAAATTTCATATAGTCAATTCGGAGAAAATTTCATATACGCAGACAAATTTCATACACACAATTAATTGCATATAGTCACTCGAAATGAGACATCAGAATTATTGGCACGAACCATATCTTGCTTATTTTTGCAGAAAAACATTTGTTTATTATGATTTCGTTTAGTGATTGCATATACATGATAATAACTCTTCAATAACACGTCAACAAAGTATTTTAGTTTCGAACAGAGACGAAGAAATTACAACGATATGGTGAAGTGAAGGACGTGTCTGAAGAAATAAGAAGGGTGAGTTACGAGACGAGACGTTCTCATAACGAACGATATTTGATGTGAGTGTTTGAAGTTGTATGAGGTATTGGTTTGTTAGACGTTTGAAGAGAACATCTGAGACAACGATGACGGGATGAAGGGATAAACGGATGAAGGGAGATTATTTGCGATAGAGATTAAAATGACATCATATTGATTAGATATGCTATCTTTAGCGTCGAGAAAGAAAGAAACGAACAAACTTGACTCATCACAACAAACATCCGAGAACGATAGGAAGAATAGTTGGTAGACAAATTTATAAGATGCGATGAAGAGAGCTGATGAGAATGGGACGGAAAACAATTGAAGAGTGCGATTATGCGCTGATACGAAATGAGATATAAGCTGACGAGTTTCGAAATGAAGTAATTTCAAGAGCTCTGCAACAGTGTTTTGTTTCACTGAGTTAATTCATTGACACGAAATATTCATTCATTCTTACAAAGATTTTCGATGATCTTGTAAAGTAGATCGTGAACACTTCAAACTACACTCTTAGAACATTGTAAGTTCGTTATAAGTACGTGTAAGTTTGGAATTTGATTTTGAATAATGGCAACGTTTGAGAATTTCGACGATTGCAAAAGAAAATTCAATTCAAGAGTTCGCTGAATCTCAGTAATCTCGCAAAATTAAATTAAATCTCCAGTGGAACATTTCTAGAAAGAAGCTGGAGTTTATCGTGATTCCGATAAGTTATGCTGCATTATATTTTATGGATGAATTAATTAAAGTTCTTCATAATTCCCATTCTATTACACAAGTTCTACTCGTCTATTATATTGATCCGAATGAAACATTGAGTGAAATAGTTGGGTGTACTTTTTCTTGAGTTCATACTAAACGCGAATTGAATTGAGAATATGAAAACGTGTTGATATTTGTTCACCACTGATGTTTCGCCTCTTTAAGCACAGCCATAGCGAAGCTGTGGAACACATTATCACTGGTATATTATATAGAGAGGCAATTTCCATTTCTCAAAGAGTGCAATTGTCGAGAAACATGCGGAAATGTAACGTTATTCTTTGAGAATGGTATCGCTGTGTGGAAAGATGAAATTTTAACGAGAATATACGTTAATTCTTATACGAAAGAGGTGTCGCGAATCGTTTTTTTTTTGGATGAATAGAGACAACGACCAGAAACAAGTGAATAAATGAAAACTACCAGAAACAGGTTCACTCAGCAAACGAACGAAACGAAATGATATTCCTAAATTCAATGCAAGATCCCACTATAAGTGCAGTTCCTAATCACTATAAGAAATATTTTCACTGCAAACATACAAAGTGCAGTTCCTAATCATTGACAGAGTCTTTTTTCTCACAGATTCCGATGTTCAATCATTTCACTACATATTTACATTGAGCATTCGAACGCTGATCGCTGTAAGCGTTCGGTGATACGATTCATCATTGTTGTATCAGAACAGGTTCACCCTTTAGTCCACTATTAGCAAACAGCTACAGCTGTTGTTTGCTCGATGAAGTGACATTTTAATCGCCAGAACACTTTTCTTCGTCGAATCACTGATTGTGAATGGTCTGAAGAGATGCACAATCTAACAATAACAGAACAGAACCTAACTTGTTAGTAATACACCATCGAAGCAAATATTCACAACAAAACTCTTGTGAATGTAGAGAAAACATTTACATCTTTCCAATAGACTTAACTTCAAACGAGAAGCGAAGTTATGAAATGAGAGTGCGTTACAAATACGAACTCAGGTAGAAATAGCTCTATTAGACATTGGTAAATAATGAAAGGAAATCGTTAGAGCCTTAGAAAAAATGTTTAAAGTGCAGAAAACTTTGCGATTCTGAGACATTCACACTGCCGTGCGAAAACTCGCAAATTCAGTGAAGAAGGCTTAAAATTTAGCATTGAATCGATGCATAGTGAATTGAACTAGTGACTGGCTTTAGTGTTCGCACAAAAAGTGCCAAGTACATTCAAGTGATGGAATGAATTATCATCCCAAAAAGAGCAGTCGACATAAAGTCCTTCGGAGATTTCATTCGTCGATATAGTTTTTAATGCTGTAGCACTTTGAAAGCAGTTTGTTTGAAAGTACATTTTAAAAAAAGTACAAAAAGTACAAACTTTTATTCGTTAAATCACTGCATATATATAATCTAAATATTTTGAACAAAAAGTTTTTGTTTAGTGCAATAAGTGCATTCATTTATCGACTGGATCGCTATATTAAAAAGAAATTGATTTCAATTTTGTTTCTTAATGAGAAGTTTCAAGATAATTATGAACGGATTTGTCTTGTATCTTCAACTTAACTTCAATTGTATAATAACTTTATGTATTTGGGAATAGTATTCTTTTATAGTCTCAACACAGCAACACATGATCAAGTACATGAATTATATTCGCCATTAAAAATGTTGCACATCATTTCATGTAATTAAACAACTTTTCATCATATGGATGAAATGTTTTGAGAAATTCCGATGAATACGATTATGTTCATAAGGTAGTTCCAATGCATTCGTTTTTGAGTAGCTGATATCTGAATTGAACATGATGCATAATTAGATAACTTTGAGCAGTGCTGTTGTTCACTGATCACAAATGATCAAACTGAAACAAACAACCAGTGCTATTTCCGTGGAATGTGAAAGAATTCTGCAGTGTCAGTACAGTCTGTAAGCAAACCTTTCCTTTAGAGAACGAGAGTGTTTCCCCTAAAAAGTGCTATCGGAAATGAAGGCAGTTCAAGATAATGCTTTATTATGGCAAAATGTTCTGAGCAAGTTAATATGCGACTGAGGTAATGTATGCATTACAAAGGAAGTGGGGGAGAGATTGAGCGTGATCCATTGAAAATTGAGTGCAGATTAGAATGATTCAGATTGAAAACATTTCAAATATGAGCACGATCAGACAAAACCACTTAACGCTCATCAACTGTTAATATAACATTTCAGAATTATGAAACGGAAGAGACTGATTTTGTGCTGAGAAATTCAAATATTTGAATATGGATCATCGAATGAATTGATGGCTTTTAGGAGATCGTTTTGTGTACATAAAACTGATGACCACTGCATACATTGTATGCCTATACGAATAATCGAGATGACAAAAGAAGGTTTTACAAAAGCAATATACATCGATATACGTCAGCGGAAGAACTGAAGTGGTACCTAATCGGAATTGAGAATGCCGAAGGTGGATGAAGTTACAAAGGAGAGCGAATAGCAATTCGAGAGTTAAACAATGAGATAAAACTGTATGAACTGAGTAAATACAAGAAATGATTATTGAACTGTACAAATGGGAAATAGTGAAGGTTGAAAGGAATTAGATGACCAGGTAGAGAACGTAATAAAGGTTTAAAGGTTTGAATGGATTGGCACTACAAGACACGTCGTGCACTGTCGTTTCAAAAGGCTGGTCCCACCAGGCTGATACCCACAAAGCAGTTCGTATATGAGAGCATAAATTCTTGAATAGTTACGACTTAAGACATTCATCACTCCGGGTTCGGTGTCAAACACTCACATCATTACCGAGTAAGCATCATTTAAAATGAACTCTCGATTATCTCACGCGCCTCATTGTTCAGTTTCATCAACCTTTGTATGTCTTTTTCTTATCTGCCCTATTTGGTTGCATCGGTTTAATCGACTTCAACTGGTCATAAGGGAATTATGAAAATTTGTTGCGATTCATCAAGCGATATCCTGTATAACCATGATCTACGGCACAGACTATTGGTAGTATATCATAATAGGTCGCGTTTAGAATTTTCAACAAGTTTGTGTGACTAGCAATATCAAACTTCATATGCTAATAAAATGTGTAGTCAAATGGCATAAATGGATTATTTCAACGCTGGAACTTCTTGAATTCATTGCTTTGTTGAACATCTTGTGGTAAATCAGTGATCTAAGCCACAACTGATCTTGTATAGTCGAATGAACTATACTAAAGTATGGTTCATTCGACTATACATGATCAGTTAGTCAGTTCTCAAAGTTTTTCCAAGAAATTCTGTAAAATGAATGAACTTCCATGATAATTAAGCTGTTCAATTCGCAAAAGACAATTGACAATATTGTAAAACATCCTGCAATATGCATCCGATTTCCGTGAAACAGTTTGAAGCACAAATCGTTTCACCGAACTCATAATACTCTATATGAAAGTTCAGTTTCAGCATCTAAAGATGATGCTTCTATTGATAATTCTCCAACTCTTCGCATTATCACTAGCACAGTTCCACATTGTGATTCCTGTCGTGCGTCAACGACCAGTCGTTCAAGGAAGACCGTATGTTCGAACAAACTGCTGTCCGCCATGCTATAATTCGAATAGATGCCGATGGAATCATCGAAGACCGATTGGTAAGTTGTTCTAACTTAATGTCTTGATTATTCTTTCGTCTCAGATTAGAATGATGGACAGCTGTGAAATCTTGTCTGTCAGCAAGGCGATCAGTCAAAATGTGAATGTATCGCGCAGCTCTTTTTCCCAGTAATCGCCTGCTTGAAGTGTTGATAACGGCATTTTCATGCATTGAAACAAGCGCAAATCCTCTCTAGACGGAATAAAATTATTGACTTTCCTAAGACCACTATTTCCTACGGCACTGATTAGTTTAAATTTTGACTATGAATAGCAGGTGACTAACAATGGAACATTAACATTCGACGTCTTATGACTATATTTTTCAACTGTTTACTTACCGATTTGACTGGATGCAAGTAGTCGAACGGGTGGATCTAGTCGGATCATGATAACGCTTCGATAAAGATGCATTTATGCTTGTTACCAAAATGTGCCTGAAAAGTCAATTCGCTTTGTTTTTAGGACCATGGGTTCCCCGCCCAGTCTATCCACCTCAGCCCATCCCAACACCACAACCGCCACCATCTACACTATCGACTAGTCGGTCAACTTCCGTTAATTCGCCTCAGTCAACGTATCGGACTGAACCCACTCCAACCGATACAACTACTGCGCTAACTTCGACTGTTACTTCGATCGTACCATCCACTATCAGTGATACAACAACAAGTACGCTTTTCACAACTCCTTTAACTTGGCAAACAGAGCGTTCCACCTCTGAACTTAACACCATTAAAAGTTTAACATCATCCGATTTTGTGACAGTCACCACAAGTGCACTCACTCAATCGACCACCACCGCACCAGTATCTTCATCGAATTTTTCGACAGCAACAAAAACGACCCCATCGAATAGTAAGCACAAGCAAGAAAGTCTGTAGACTAACTGGGAGTGACTCACCTCAACTTACTCTTCTAACAATTCTTCAACTCTTTCTCATTCAACTTTTGGATCACGTCTAACAATTACTCTTTCACTCATTTCACTCATTCGTATGGAATCTTCACTAACGTCATTCTACTGAGGGACTCGTTCAGTGTGAAGGGATCAGCAGTTGGATAGCTCATGAAGTTCAAAGTGACTAAAATGTGACAAATGAATTGGGATAATTTTATTTGGCATTGTAGAATTTCACGATTTCTTTTTCAAGCAACTCGCTGACTGCTTTACACTACGGAAAAAACCATTTACTCGGTGTTGACAGGAACATAAATAAATTGTTGCAAAGAATACATTTGAAAATAACATATCGGAA